CGTTGTTTAAGACATCATGCTAATCAAACATCAGGCGTGATCTGCTTCTAATGTATCACTAACCATTGATCACATAATTAACAACCGTTCTGATCTGCGTGTGATCCATAACTGGTTTTAGTTTCGTAATATCAATATAGAATAACATGATATGTTTTGCAGTTGCAGAAAAATTGATTTTTTTTCTTCTGCGTGTCATGTTTCGTCAATTTGACGTTAGTACGCACCAGTCTCCATTTGCAGTTCCTGACGCGTTGGGTCAGTTGTCGTTTTTGCTTTTAGCCTTTCCTAGCGTTGTTTGCTCTGACCTTAACAAATCTTACAACCTTCATTTAATATGCAATCTATGAAATGTTTATTTCATAAATAATACTTATCGCATATAAACGGTTATTTACATGCACCTACAGTTTACTTTTTTATCAGTTAAATCAATATTTCAAATCCGTTACACACGGGTTTCTATATATGTTTTGTCTTAGTTTTATTGAATTTGAGTTTGGATTATGATTATGTTGGCATGTTGGTATTTTCTTGGTTTTTTTTTTTTTTTATTGAAGTTGTGTTGATATTTTGCTGTTTTTGCCACAAACTGAATCAAGTAGTGGCAATTTTAGGACACTGTTTCCTCGATAAAGACTGAAGCAGGGGACATTTGTATTTATGTAGAGAGTGCTGCGAGTCATCTCAGCTACGATGCTTATTAGATAAAGGTTTTCATCACTCAAGACTTTCAATCTTGACATAAAGTAATGTTTGTGCCAAATACGAGCCGCCATTTGTATCAATTAAAGGCATTCGTATGTAAATTACCCGTACGTAAAATATCGCGAAAATTAGGCTGTAATTTGCAAGTTGCAACGTTAATGGATATTGAAAAGAAAGATATAGACACAATTTGAAACACGGGATACAAATTCATTTAACAAACGAAAATTAAAAAAAATGGGTCAATAAAGAATACGGCTTTTGCCAATATGAAAAGCTTGTGTGGGGTAATCTGGTTTATCAACATAAAGACAGCGAACAAACTAATAATACAAAGAGAAACAATAGAAAGTGTATCTTGTTTTAACTTTCTTATACTATCCATAAAACTCATATGATAGAAAGACATGAGATGACTCTTTTAGACATTAATGTGAAATTTTAGAAACATGCATTACTTTTATAATATTGCTACTACATATCTGCTTTTGAAGGATACATTTTTACTTTGGGAACTAATGTAAAAAAACGATTAATCATCACATCGAGAAATGTGTTCTGTAGATATGTGCTGGAGGGTCATTCAAAGAGTCTATACAAGGTAAACATAACATGCTGATTGTGTAATTTAGACAGAATGACGTATACTGTTGCATTGTTTTGACTACGGTAAAGTGATAAAACCTGTATAGGATAATTTAATGTTGTTTTTGTTTGATTTATGGAGAGAACGTTCAGCCACTTTGATACGGCATTAGATCCGAATGATTGATATTATCACGAGATGTAGCATCGATTCCTAGTAGTAGCGAGTTGTTCATGTTCTGCCATCTATATAATTAAAAGTGAAAACATTAGTGTCCATGTCAAAGTATCTGTGAACGGAAAATTACAAATAATGTTTAGTTTTCTTTGAAGAACACAGATAACAATTTCTCTGTAGCGTCATTAATCTGTATTGACTTCACCCATACTTCATAAAACCTGTCACGTTGTCTCCGCGGACCAGTGGGCGCGCTCGTCAGAAGTCATATAGTCGAAATACTTCATAGGAAGGGACACTGTTAGCATTATCTTTGATTATATACCTGTGATGGACATTAACAAGGTAACTGCATGTTTATTACCAAGGTTATACATGTTATTCATGAATATCACTTTGACACGAGCATGAACGAATTTCATCTAAAGTCAAAGCTTCCTCTATTCGTTGTTGAATGTGTGATATATATCGTTGTTAATTTAAATGTGACGACCAAGGCGAGTTTCACGATTGGAACTGTCTAGAATTACTCTTCTTTATTGACTAACATAGCAGACGTCATTTGATCTTATCAAAATAGAATAGCCTCCAGAAATGATGGACATAATATCGGACATCAAACTCAATAGATAAGAAACATCTTTATGTTTGATGTTCGAGATGTTAATGTACAATCCTTGCGGATTTTGTTTCGAAGGAGGTCAGCAAGGCAACTTGAAATGCTTCAATACGAATATTTCCGTCCGATCATAGATGATTTTTCTATGTAAAAATCTTTTTACCGTATCCCCCATAGTTTCCATTCCATGGATTGGTTTAATTTCACAATATAATTGTAAAATCCCAATTAGGTTACCCTTCCATGTTCAAAGTTATTTGTCGAAATCAATCACATATCTTTGTTTAACGTTTGGCTGTCCTAGTGTAAATGTTTTACGGTCATCCATACACAAATGTTACAAGGATTATAATTGCTATCCTTATTGCATGAGCGCAAAAGGCGATTAATGTCCTCTTTTCTACACAGCTGTACTTTTCCTTGTGTCTCAAACGACAATGCCTTACTTTCGACCTTTATTTAAGTGTTTGACCATGTGAGAAAGTTATGGGTCCCCCATCCCTTGCCAAGACATGTAACGAAGGTTTATGAAAATGATTACCATCCCCTGCTCAAAGCTCAATATTATAATGGTGCTCGACAGGTTCATCCCTTGTCAGTATACATGCATACATCTTCTTGGTAACACTACAATGTCGGCGTAAGATCCGCACTGTCCTAAGGAGGCTTACAGAAACATATTGCATCCTTCCGCAAACACACTCACCTCACGTACATTGAATACATGAAAAGCCGTCCTAAGCTGGTAATAAGTCGGGAATAATAATAAACCAAATCATAACCATTTCAAGCTTTACATGGCCTACACCTTTTGATAGTCCATCGCTGTTGATTAAAATCCCTATTACAGAACGTGAAAACAATCTAGAAATACCATTGAGAAGATATAAGCAATATATTTGCAATAACATAAAAATGTCACCAGAAACATATAAATCACATATATATTTTATATCACATATTTGCAAAGCAAAACAGATGCTTTCCAGTTTATTGTATATTAGATTGGATAACGTTTTTGTTGATTTTAAGCACACAAATATTATTTACTGACTTCAAATCGCAATTTTATTGATAAAACCTGTTCTAGCTCTATCAGTCTCATATCGAATGTATAGAACCAGCCGTAACGTTAAACCCGAGTCTGAAGCCGTATTTTGTATGTTATTAGTCTCCTAGTATATTCTTTCTATCGTTCTGAAGGTCATACTTCAAATTCAATGCAGGTTATGACGATATGTTCAGATATTACCTATCTTAAGCTTTAAAAGTAGCATCATAACAGATAAAGTTGCTGGTCGATGTGGTAGTCATATTGCGGTTGTATATAATGACAGATGGTACGCTAGTCTAATACAATATATAAAGTTACCGTGCTAACGGTTACTCTCCTCTGCTCACATTATCGAAGAAAGGTCACCGCTGATACCATATATACAGGGATTAAATTCTTTCTGTACGGATGCAATATAAGACTGTATCGTCCTGTTTACGTCGTGTAAACAAGTATTAATACCTATTATTAGTTCTGAATCATTTTGACATGTTTAAACTAAAATATACATAATACCATCAGGACAGATCACTCCAGTCGATTGGAATTTTCGAAACATATCGTTAAGAGTATAACCCCTGCAATCTCTATTAAAGTACTTCTTTGTTTATGCTTATGTATATCTATATAATGTAATGTACCGTTCTCGTTGGAACTCGTGTGTTTCTTTCGGGTATCCTTTCATTTGAAACATCTTAAGTGCCCAGATTACACTAACTGCCGAACAGTATCATTTAGAGTATTTAAAAACAGCCTCCATTTTATCAATCAAACAGCATACTTACTGCATTAAAAGTTTAAATGCTTTCGAACACATTCTTTGCTACCACTTACATTACATCTGAAATAAACACTTTTTTATATAAAGCATGGAAAGCATTTTCAGAAACAAATACATTTCTATAGTCAGATGTTGAGAATTGTTTATGAACAGATGAAAAAAGAATATCAGTCTACGATCTCGCAATTACGACGTTTACGATGTGACAGACGCGACGGTCCTTCTGAACATTTGTTTTACTCTTTAAAAGTAGGCATTGTTTTTTTTTTCTTTTTTGAATAACTGTTAGTATCGAACGCGTGTTTATCATTCACATAATGAACGTCTGCTATCCAGTAGAATGGCTTTTTTTAAAAAGTATCTGTTACATATGGCATATACGACATAAGCGATATTTCAACTGATGATAGGACATGGCACAATGCATCTTGCCATGACTGATGAATGTTGATAAAACTTCCGCAGAATCGACGTCTTTGTTTAACTTATTGATCTGCTATTGTGACTTCTGCAGTCCACATATTTTTGAAAGTATAAGCTGTTTTGTTGGTCATTTTCATAGGACCAGTACTATTTCAAGGACTAAGGAAAGTCAAAAAGATTTGAAGTCAACTCACATTGTAATCAAGTCAATGAAAATTGTAACTTAACTAAAGTCCATAATGTCATGAATTTGTACGTTATTCCAAAATACGTACTTGTAGAGTGTAATGAACCACGATAGTAACTTCTTGCGCGAATGTTTCAGTGGATTAATGCATTAATGCTATGACATGATACTACTTGCACTAGGTTGGTCAAGGGAAATGGGGTGTTCAAATTAGAAAGACAATTTCCGGTTTTAAAGTTAATATGGCACACTTACCTTCGTTTCCCAATATCATCCTCTCATTCCGCAATCAGGAAATGAACGTCGTATCATTTACACTCTTACAGGTAAAAATATTAGTCTTGAGTTGTATCAATTAACATTACATTTGAGTTTATGTTGTATATGTGTGCGTTCTAGCTATATGCTTAGAAATCTTTCGATTTGAAAACGCGTCAAATATTATTTTCGTTTTTAATTTTGCAGTTCCTAAGACATCACAATGACAACAACAGACTCCCCACATTGGATGACAACCTTTCACACCCAAAATGCTACAACACAGAGCACAGAAGGTAACTTAACGGAGCCAGAAGAGGAACTGACCACGGACGGCATCATAGTTCCTGTAATTTGGGCGCTTTTGGTGATCATTGGGACAATTGGAAACGGAATAGTGATATATATACTGAGCAGGTATGGCGAACGAACTGTGACCAATATATATGTGGTGAATTTAGCCTTCTCGGACCTCACCTTCATTGTGATAGTGCTGCCCATTACGGCCATACATTTCGTTATACCCACGTACATGTTCGGAGAAGTCGTTTGCAGAATCAGCATCTACCTTATATACGTAAGTAATCAATCGTGGGGTTTATAAATGATTGCCTGAATATGTAAACGCGTTTTTGTATTTAACCTTTCAACTAAACATACAGAGCCGAAATGACCATAGGGTGAAAATGTGAATTGTTTTTTTCTAGATATAAGACTTAGGTATATACCATGTGATAAAAATGGTGCTTCAATTCTATTGGATGTGCAATTTTTTTTTTAAAATTCGTCTTATATTTTGTTTTCATTAAAGTTCGCCGAATGTTTAATTAAATCTAAAATCTGAAGATACGTTTCCTTAATCATATTTCAAATGACGATCAATGGCGCATCAGATGTTTAGTTTTAATCCGTCTTTGATTTAGAAATGTTATGGGTATTGTTATTCGCAAAAAAGATACTTTTGATGACTTCTAATTACCAATGATCAAGATAAGCATGCCAGCTTCTCTCTGTGATTCAATCAATTTCTTTTACATGTTATGTTTAAACATCTTAATGCGCCACATCACCACACCTTGATATTAGATATTATTATCAGAGCAGCACGGAACGATGGCATTTCATTTTTTTCAAAAACTAATTATGTTTACTTAAGATATGATTATATAGGCGATGCCTATTGATTACTAATCAATTTTGCTACCTTAGCATGTGTTAACAAAGTTTAAAACACATGTTCCCATCGCAACACAACGTTATCCATTGTTAGCCTGTTTAATTAGGCATTTTTATAACTTCTGACAACATAACGTGTCTGATATAGATGACAGGCAGGCTACTTCAAAGTGTCACTACGCCGCGTTAATAATTAAATGACTTAGATTTACATTTAAAATATCATGAAGCAATTCAAATGAAACACGTACAGAGCCGTTGCGACATTCTCGATTCAAATTCCGCAAACTGATATGTCAACACTACCTTCTGCAAATGCATATTGAACAGACACGTTTAAGGACTTCCGCTTTTCATTATATCATTATATTGTTCATCGATACAAGCCATATTTCGTAACCATGAACGAACAAGAACTCTTTAGAACGAATGGTGAAAGCACGAGTTTTGTTAGATATAGCATTTCACCTAGATGACACTTTGAATATATTTTTACAATCAAATAAACAGTCAAACATGTTTCCACCAAATGTTTTAACAAATATAAATCTAATAATGCATTATTAACATGGGGAATATTTGATTATGACTTGAAGTTCAATAATACTCACTATTGTTAGTTTTTTCTTGTGTACTTTGGCGGGTGTGAGTACTACGCCTTGTTAATTCATTGGATGTATGTTGAAATATCGCAGCAGAACAGTTTGATTAAAAACGAATTGTAAGGTACACATGACACATCTCACTACCGATTATATGAATCAAAATTATCAATAAACTTTTAGTTTTTCACACAGATCCAATTTTGAGTATCCAGTTACAGTTTATATGCAATAGAACGAAAATGTTGCCCTGCGGACGTAAAAAGTGATTAGTATTTCTCATAAAGAGAGGTGATACTCAAATTGATTGCCGTGTTGTGTACTTGATGGCGGCGATGGAAAACCACATAGGATTTGCTGTATCTCACTGCTGACGCCAACACTGCCCTTCATTGCCCTCTATCCTATGACGTCACGTAAACTCATTAAATTATCATAAAATCAATGCATATTGCCTTGGGTTTAGAATTAATTAAACAGTATTAAGCGATTGTATAAGTTGGCGTGGGTTTGGAAAACATTTGGGTGTCTTCTAATAACATGGGTTGCTACGATGGATGAAAATCGGAGACAAGTAATGAAAAAAAAACTGAAATAAAAAAAAGACAAACCGTTAAACATTATTACACAGAGACTAAGAATTATTTTTGATGACAAAGATTATTTGTTGGTATAATTGTTGAAATGACCGTTAAGTGGTATTTGTATTATGGATGTTTTACTATTACCAGTGCCCGGGACATACATAAGGAAGCGCTTCCATTCAAGCCTAATTAATATCTGAGTGTTTGTTAATGGTAATTGTAAGCTATATATCAGTGTATGTTTAGCTTTAATTTTAGCAGTCACTGGTCGCTAAGGTAACAATATCATTAAGTGGTTCTTTTTTTTTAATAAAGTTATTACTATAGCAGTCACATGTTTGCGGTCTATTTGTTAGTAAACGTCACTCCTGTACACTTACATACATGTTAACAAGATCTTGTACGAAAACTTATTGAATTCCTGTTCTGGCGGTTTTTTATTTTTTTTTTTTATTTTTTTACTATTTCACGAAATATCTTAATCGATCTGATTATTTGATTTTAACATTACAAATACATCTAGTCGAATGAAACCCCGAGCGTCGGGGCGCTGACCTCTTTGAAGGGTATATCGGGTAGCCTAAGTGTACGGCCTGTTGTCTTCCACTGCATGATTGTATTAGACAACTTAAATTGGATCAACTCTAGACTCTGTGCCTACCATCAAGGGGAGAGGGGGCACTCGACGGACATAGTCAGATGTGCTACATAAATTCTATCTCTTAGGATCTTGTTATCTTGTTTTCTTTCCTGTCCGCTGTTTCTTTATGGGCTTTGTTTTCTACTCTTTGTGTCCTTTTTGATATTTTTGTCACACAAATATGACATAAAAACGATGCTTTTCTTTAATGCATTACACAAGCAAAACATTAGTATTTTTCCGTCATACAAATGAGAATTATATTATTATACTTGAAACTACTAAATTTTCTATTTTTAACACAGTAGTCATTCTCAAATCACAAACGCAATGCTCTACCGTGTTATTGTTATGTCTGAAGAATTATTTTTTTGATAATTTTGTCTTACAAATTCTAAACTGCTATGCATTCGCTACCTTTTTGGCATCACACTTTCTGTTTTTATTGATGATTTCCAATTTCCCACTTAATGAGTTGTTTTGAAAATTATAAATGCAAATATTTGTACAGCAACGTCTGAATATTATTATACCGATACAGAGTACTGCAAATACTATTCACAGCATTTGTTCACAGCAAACTAGAAAAATATCCAGTTTGGTTTTTCTCGTCAACTGCAGATTGTGCCATCATTTTATAAATTTAATAAGAATGTGTCAATAGGTTGTGGCTCTACAACTTTACATCGGAACTGCCATCTTTGCACAATATAAATACCGTGATTTTTCTGTCGAATATAATAGTCCGTGAGCCATTTTGAGAATGACGCCATCTTGAGGACTGCAATTCAAGCTGGTCGGTATCATGTTGTAGAACAAATAGTAATAGCCGCCATTATTATTATTATGTAGCACATTGCAGACGTCATAACACTGACCTAATTTAAGTTTTTGCACGTATAATGTGATGATACTGATACATGATAACATTTCATGCTAAATGTCAGTGTTTATTACTTTTTACTACAATTTAACGTAAGAACGCGGAGAATCACGTAATGTTAATTGCTTTTCTCCTGAAGTTCATCGAACACTTATCTTATGTAGACAGCGGTTTTTTTTCTATGATTTCTCACATCGTGGCGTGTAATACATTGCTGGCCTGGACAAACAATGAATTCTCTAAGGAGCCCTATTCTTGCAACAGTACATGTTGTGAAAGAAAATACGTTTTTTATTATTCAATTGATCGGTGTGTTCTTTCATTTAATTAACCCCAAATCAATAGAAAAAATTTAACATTTATCTGAATTATTAGGATTAATTCGTATTTAATGCATAGTCGGTATCACTGCATGCCGAAACCCATGTTAACCCTAACAGGACGTAATAGCCGCTATTGGGCAATAAATCTGGGGTCGTTTTAGTCGAGCATATCGTAAATTGTGATGCTATTGTTCAAAGAGGTGTTTAGTGTCTGTGACTAGGGATTCTTCAAACTGCAGGTGTAGATTGTAAATTCAATCAGATCGATTTATAAAGCTTAATTAAAAAGTTCAAGTAGAAATCTTCATTGTGTTAGATTTTTAGATTTAAAAATCATTACCTTGCAGATTTAGCCATGGTCTTTTTGTAGCCAGTAACCCAATAATGAAATGCAAAATCTGCGATAACACTGAATGGCAATTAAAGTTGCACATCCACTTGGGAATGAACGTTTAAAATCGCATTTGGTATTTATAGGGATTAGATGTTTAAGAGATTCATTCTGTGTCAATAACGAATGCGATTATTTACACTGATATTTACTCTTGCCAGAACCACTGCTTTCCACACCAAATCTAAATACATCTTTGTAAAAGTCAGGTTTACATCTCTGTCAGTGTTCATGTTCGTTGCCCAGATGTATTCCTACTTAATGCCATTTCCTATGTGTAACGGCTTCGTCTTGTTTGCGTTCGCCCCATCACGTGGCGTACGCGGGTTTTCGTCGATTTCTAATGTTGTGAAAGGCACCATTAAAACAAACACGATATTTCGCATCAACCGGCATCTAATCGTAGCCAGATATCTTGTGTCTCGAATAAGGTGGCAAGCAAAGCTTGAAAACCATTAGAGTATTTTTGAGTTTTGCTTTTTTCCGCGTTTTTTTTTTTTTTTTATATATATATGTGTGTATATTCTATCCCTCTACAAAAATGTGCATGTATAATTAATGATTCCTGTTATTTCAAGGACGTTCATAAACCTCAAGCATACAAAGTATATGGTTGTGTGTCCCAGCAAAAATATTTCGCTTACGATATTCCACTGCTGGGCTTGGTTTTAAGGTACAATACAAAGCAGAGTATTACATTCATCGCTAATTAAAGGTTGACTTGTATTGTGTGTTATCGATAGCTGTTTATGGAGACGTAGCGATTCCGATGTACGTGAACTGCACGAGATGGCAACGAGATGTTAGTTGTACTCTTAATCGCTACTCTGTTACAAAGCGCATGATCAATAGTTACCGGTAGTTCGAAGCATTAATCCATCAGCTTTTATCCAAATTTAGACGACTTTTGTTTTTTGTCATTGCACTGTAACTCTTTGTAGTACATCGGTATTAATTCAAAAGAAATACTGAACAAAAAGTTAAAAGTTTTGATTAAAGAAATATTAAGTATACGTACCATTATGGTATTGAGTGTATGATGTATTTCTTGTGGGTTTACATCCACGCTTTCTGCCAATGTGTTGTCCTTGATTAACAATATCTCCATGTGTTTTTTTTTTTATATAGTTCACATTTTCCATCGCGTTTGTTTGTATAATCAGCTGCATTCTCCTTATAACGTTTATCGGTTTTCGAAGCGCAATATTTGCAATAATTTTCAAAATATACCATTTGAATTATCTTTTTTTTTTTTCTTGTTCTGATTTCGTCCTTATTCTTACTTTTTACACGTTCTATTTCTGATACTGAGCGCATCTTTCTAGAATAAAAATTATATGTTTTTTTGATCGGTTGTGTTTATTGAACTCAGAGTTGCTTTAAGATGGATTGACAATGAAATAGATTCATCGCTGGTTTTTTGAGAGGAATTAAACGGATTGAATTAAATTGATATGAATAGCAAACACAGGAAAGACCGGAATTTTTTTTCCAACTTTTAATGATGAAATAAAGAACAAACAGATGTGAGCGCAAATATTCTCTGTGATCTCTTGTTGTATTATGGACATGTATCTTGCAAATAGAAAATGCTGCAATATATAACTTTTATAAAATTAGAAATTAGACATACGAAGTTTTACATAGGAAGTTGATAATTTTTTTTAATTTATCCAGTTTCGTTTCAAAAAATAAAAAACAAACAAAAGAATAAACAAAACAAAACGACGGGATGTTGACGCATCAATTAAGGAACACGGTTGTCATGGTGACAAATGCGCTCATGCGTGATACAAGGGTCTCAGGAAAAACATAACATGTTAATCATTAACTACGGCAGTGTTCTTTCTTCCATCTATCATGCGCGATATCACGACACAGAAAATAATTTATGAACATATACGTCCTTACGCATTTATTTAATGTTGACATATCAATATACATGATTATAAGTGACATGGTCGCTGTGGATCTTCTCGCGTTTCATTTCAATTGTATCTCCGGATTTTGACATTTATTATTAAACATACAATCATAACAATACGGACAGGGCATTTATTGGAGTGAACGGGAATGTGATGTGTAAGCTTTACAAAACTACATAAGCCAACAATGAAACACGCTTTGTTGACTTATTTTTTATGAACACATTGACTTGCTTTAATCTCTACGAAGCGTTTACATAATCAGAACAGACATTTGTTCTTTATTGTTTAACGTTCAATACACCATCCTGATAGAACTTTTTCGAGTTTCAAATATTGGTAAACTTCCACTAACCGTTCTTCAAGGAATACCATACACACTCTTAAAAACCGTTTTTCGAATATACATCTTGGGAGAGCAGTGTCGTGTATTATTATATACATGTTTTTAGTCTTGTTACTTAAGAAATGTAAAGTTATATCCCATAAGCGTATATATAAAATTAGCAAGTGTTTGCCTATCAAAATATGACAAAAACGTATAGATGTTTGTAGTGTAACATCTTGTCTTGAGGGCTGATGCATCATAACTACAACTAATCAGTTAATACGCTTGCTTCCTCACAAAAAAGTAAACTACTTTATGATTACAAGTATCACCACGAACGACGGAACCATTCAAGGTCGTTTATGTTATGCTTCAAAGGTAGATTGTTACAATCTGAACAGCTATACACAACGTCAGTTTTACTTATCAAATGTGATGTTATGATTTTTCAGTTTCATGACAAAACAAATGTGCCATCATCATTTGACTTAATCTTTAATCGACACTTGCAAACAAAGTCCTGAGTGGGTAGTAAAATTCACATCGGTCAATTTCATGTATATCAAAAATTGCAATGCAGTTTACATGAAGATAGTTACTCCTTGAGATATATATTATTATCAATATGCCAGTTTTGCTTAACAAGCGCATAAACGTTCACGCATGCACATAGCAAGGAATTAAACGAGCTAAGACCAAAGAAAATAATATGACTTTGGGCTTGCTTCCATTTTTGTCTCGACATCGGGGGTATAATTAAAGTCATTTACTTGTTCCCGTGACATATATATTAGTCCAGTCTTCCCACGCATTTGTAAGCTCGAACAGATAATGGCACCATGCACATATCTGCCTTTATCGTAGCGACAATGCCTTAACATGGCGTAGTATCACGGAGATCACCGTAGAACGTCCACAGTTTCTCACTAGCAATACGTTTATCATACTACGTCATGGACGATAGATGCCGATGGGAATTTGGTTAATGGAATATAAAAATAATTTAAGATCGACGTGTCAATCATATCAGGGACGTTTTTGGGTCATTTGAGAATAATTTACAATACATGAACTCTTAACTGTAACGTATATGTTATCAAATTCCTTATTGATCTAGGACTATGATAGCAGATTACGCCGTCAGAAGGAAATTATCCTGTTACACCGCTATCAAATCATAACCAAACATCCAAACGCTGATATCCACCGACAGCTTGCAAAGCCTTGTTGCCGTGTGGCTAGGGCTACCGATTTCAAAGAAGCGACACACCATATCATTAACGAAACATGCTTATTTTCTTTAGAATGATTTTGCTGATTCATACAGAACTGAGTTAGTGCAAACCATACTGGGAAAAGATGTTAGGATTTTTGATACGACAGATATTGATTGATCGGGATTTAAAAATGATTTTGTAATATTTTTAGCAACATATCAATAAAGTACATGGACATATGCATAAATGTACAAATATACACGCAAATATTGGATATCTACAATAACAAATGTATCATATACATACATATATATCGTGTTTCTTGTTCATATTACGTAAGAACATATAAGCCTGCCTATATATACGTATGCTTCCAGCCTTCTTTCGTTCTATTGAAGTGATTGACATATCAATATATGCCAAACGTTGTGGTTTGATTGTTATATCAAGTCTGCATTTAACGCGCACCTTGGTTACAAACATGCATGTGAACGTTAAAATCGCTTAACTATCCATCTAAAACATTCCACAAAAATAGCTTATCGAGGAAAACGAGATTTTCCCCCTGAATATATCAATAAAGCAATGATGTTTTTTAGCCTCGCACAAATTAAAAATGGATATCCTGAAACTATTACAATAAAACATAGCACTTTATTTGATAGTTAAGATAAACACTGGGTCTTCAGGAAACCACGATCAGAATGCTCCCGCTCTTCACTGTGCAAATTGAACATCTGTCTTGAATGATAGTGTTATCTTAACGAGACCAATACAGCCCTCCTCTATTTTCTTATCATTAGGCATTTTCATAATGCGACGATTTATCGAGAATGTGAGTGATAAGAACGTTTTACTTGTTACATGCACATAAACCATTTGAAGAGACCATTAATATTGAATACTGCCGAAATAATGGTTTCTTTGCTTGACTACAAGTCGCTTAGGCAATTCACTAATACGCATCTACCATCTATATTATTGAAATAGAAGCATTCATTATACGTATTGATGTTAGGGTAGCCATTTCATATCCCTGTACTTTAATCGTTTATAATGGTGTAATATTAGTCTCAAATATGGTCTAGAACCCGCACTCTTGAGGAGGAAACTCGCAATAGAAATAATGATGTCTCAGAGTTGTCGTATCTCCATCATAATCCGCAATACGCAGTAAATAATTTAAGGCCGAACCATTAGACACCATCTCATGTGTATATCTATATCATCTTCCAAAGTGTCAGTGTTAGATAAAATACTGTTTGTTACATCTATATGGAATGAAAAGAGTCGTTGATACACACCTCAGCGGGGTATATTTGTACTTGCTCGCTTTAGGCATAAGTGACTTAATACGAAATGAAAAAGGGACCCCGTTATCGTCAACATTTATAACGTTTAAATATGTGTAGATTCTATAGCACGGTAATTTATATATAAAGGTCTATTTCATGTCACCATTGACATTATTTCACTTTCGGCTATAAAATATTCGCAAATGTGTGTACTGCTGGTTCAATCAATGAAGCAATAGATTCTTACTATTCCGGAACACCTGGTCGTATTTTTTGTACCTTTTTAGGAGTCCGCGTGTAAATCTTTGTTTTGTTCATTCTATGTCTTAGTTTTACTGAATTTGAGTTGGATTTAAATTCTTTGTTTAAGTAATTTTTTTTTTTTTTTACATTTTGTTCAAAATTAAATCGTTTTGAAAGCCAATCGGTTGTTCAGAAGACTATGATATAGCTTTGATATATACGGGAATATATAAGATTTTCTAGCATCCTTGGCCTATTCTCTTATAATCAACCAGAAGATGAAATGATCTTAATGTGTAAATGTGACATACTAATAGTCAAACCAAACATTTTTGTAATGCACATAAAATCCGACCTTCTTAGAAGATAATTTCAGATAATTAACCATGTTTACGCACGAACCCAATTAAACCATAGTTTTACGTGCTTTAACCTAAAACGCGTTATAATTTCCTTTACTTAATCATGTATAATCGTTGATGGCGAATTAATATGTTCATATTTGGATATCTAGGCGTTATTAAAAGCTGAGAATAAACTACAATAATGATTTATTTTGACACCAGTATATTTCCCTTTATGACGTCATATACTATATATATAGAAGCATTGTTATATTCACAGGTTACCCTCCATGCCACTTGTCTTACGCTGATGGCGATGACGATAGATCGCTACTTTGCCATTGTCTTCCCCATACAGTCTATGAATTGGCGGAACGCTCTAGTGGCCACAATTGTCAGTGTAGCTGTCTGGATAGGTAAGTCATGTAATTATGCCAAGAATAAGATGCCAAACTGCTTCAAAAGAAATCCAAAGTTTTGAATCGGGTACAGGAAGATAACAGATGGCACATTTGGCAAAATAACCAGTTTGATGTAATGAATGAAAATCGTTTTTTTTTTTTTTTTATTTATAAAAAATATATTAAAATATATATATATTGCAATTTTATATAAAATAATACGTTGAATAGAGTATAAAATGGACATACACCTTTAGTGTAATATTACACAAACCACCTAAGACGCAGTGTAGAGTGTTTTTCATTTCGACCAGTTCAATCCGTGCTTCCTCTCATCATAATGGTATTAATATTATTGCTTTGTCGATTGTCTTCGGGTCGAGTATCCTGCTTAAGCAGTCTACCTCAGTGTAATAACTCTATTGTGACTATATTAGTTCCGTCACATCACAAAATGACAAAATTCCAAAAACACACGAACTCAATATACGTTCTGGCTTCAGATACATAGTGAGGTAGCCCTGAAATAGCCTAGCTGTTATAAGGCGTTAAGGCGTACAAACTTTAGCAGCTACATATTCCATGATGAAATCATTGATGGTAAATTTGAAATATGGTCGCACACTACCTGTTGTGGTTTCAATTCCGGACAGGACTAAATATCTTTGAAATTCTTCCTTTTTCAAATATTTGCTTAACTTTGCAATTACTTTAATTTGTCAGGATTTTTTTTTCTAAATTTCTGAACACTTTTACAAGGCTTTATCTCTTGCATCGTTTCAGCAAGTAATGGTCGTGTAGCACCAAAGAGAGGGTACAACAGGGGACTTCAAAGGAGAAAATAACAATTAAAATGACTTTTTATTGTGCTATCCAATACACACAATGACATTCAGCAAACCGGACTATAAAACGTCCACTCTCTGCGAACCCTTTTTATAGCACATCTTTTGCGATGACGTCACGTTTACATTATCATGCATTGGTTAGACATGTACATTTGTGAGTAGGTAATTACGTTTTGGTCTGAACATGGCGATACGAGGGTGTTAAGGTGAATCAATATATATTACGACACTCATCACAATGATTTTCTTGCTGAGTGTGACTGACTTCTCACCAGCCAGTGTTCATCTTGTTGAAACATGCAATACAGTATTAGGTTTGACAGAATAGAGGACAGAGACATACAATTTTTTTTTTTTTTTTTTATTTGTCGAAGGCCATTCATCCGAATGTTGTGAGTGAGGACTGTGTTTTTTACTATCAGAAAATAAAGGTTAGTTATGGGCACGAGACACATTAGATGCAGACAAGTAGATAATACGTTGAAAGCATGCTTACACTAAGATCACAAACTTGTCTAAAGCTTTCCCTATACAACATGTTCATGAAGGAAATCTAAATTCCTGAAGGCAAATCTCTGTCTGTTCGCCATGTCACTGATTAAGCTAGAGCATGTCACTGTGATGAAGATAGCAACGGATCTCAATCAGGACTATAGCTCCAATATAAAGTAAACAAGAAAGAATTTCTTGGTATTTTTTTTTTTTTTTTTTTATAAATTCACCTTCCATCCTTTCATGGCAAATCTAACACAATAGACTTGCTTCTGATGTCATTACCCTGAAACCAAAGTGACAGCAATTTCCGAATGAAAAAACAGCAATTTGTAATTTAATCAAATATCGGTAAATTTATAGCTAGGAAAGAGAACTGCCGATGGGACTTTTTCTGTCTGATATATGATTGTAGTGGTGGTGGTGGTGGTGTTGGAAGGGGGAAAAGGACAGTGTCTAGGGGAATGCCACTATATGAAGACGAGTGTCTAGGGAGACCAAAAAAAAGTGTCGCAATTAAGACCGTGCGTGTAGATCAAGTTTCGTCTCGTCAATCTTCTACCAAGTAGTAGACATAAAAGTGATCTGATTTGCTCGTTCTTCCCTTATCCAATAAAGTCACAGACCTCGTCTCTTCTCTAACTTCCTCGTTTCTCCTTTTACACGCTCGTCTCTCCTTAATTTTTACAAGTTAGTGTCAAAGTCATTGTCATACCTGACATCGATTCGCTATATTATTTTATATACATATTTTACAACTGTATTTGCAAATCTTAAACTAGTGTCACAGTTTGTAAGATGATCCAACGGCGAAGAGTTTCAACCTTTATTTCTGTACATCTGGCAATACAGCTGATATCTGGTGCACTTTGTTGAAAGGAAGTTTTGATGAGTTTTCGATTTTTATCGAAAGATATGCTGTATAGATTTTTAATAAATTGTTTTTAGTTGAAGTGCTCTCCAGTTGTGGTATAGCACAACGCACCAAAACCTGCTTGCGCACATCGCACACACCTCTTCAGAACACACCATGATACAGTATCTAACGTACAGCTGTGCGGTAGGATCGCAAATTGTTGATTAATATTTCGAATTGAAAATTAAACGGAAAAAAAAACTTGTGTAGTTATGACTAGATAGCGGCAAATAACACTTTAAATTTGTCTGAATGTATAATTATAGATGTATTGCAAAATGATAGAGAATCAAAAGTGATACCGTCGCATATGTAATGTAAATAAAATTTCTGTTCTGATGTTGTAGAATTTTAGATGATTATCAAATAGAAGACAAAAACACAAACATAAAATTCTACTTGATTTATCACTTTAATGATTGGCATTTATTGGCCAAGGCTTCGACAAATTTTAAACTTTTCCTGGATGAAAAGGCTCAGATCTTGGTTGAAGGTCGCCGCGACCTCAGTATGGCGCGTGAAACTTATCCAACCTTCTTATAGAAGATTTCCAAAAACCGATTGAACAAGGGAGACAACTCAAAAATAAATCATCTATAGATTTGATCTTTATATGATAAACCGAATTAACTTATAGATATTAATTCTTATTAATTGCCGAGACAAAAAGAGACGTCCATTTAATGGTAATATACATACAATGAAAATACAATGAGTGTCTGTACACTAATGCAAATCAAATATGTTAATAAAATCACTCTTAATGCGACATTTTGGTAAGACGATTTTGCTGATATAAATAAAATGTTTCACCTTATGAACAATGCCAGTAGGTTTTCATATATGCATTTTAATATTTTAATTTGCGACTGTAAAACGGAATTCCCTCCTTGTTGATGAAGACTTGGTATGTAAACTTAAAACGTCATACATGATAACACATACACAAGACACATATTACCTGTAAACAAAATGTCCTCCCGCCTGGAAAGAGCTGCGGCAGAGAAAATGTTTCAGCCTCATCCAGAAAGCAACAGATGGCCAAATGACAAAGAAATCCCCAAATTTTTGCTGGGAAAGCACCAATGTAGATGTACGTATAACATAGATAAATTCTACACCACACTTATTCTAATCATTCTTAAATTTATACGAAACGTGTACGAATCGTACATCATTACGAGAGAAGTTCACAGGTATGTAACAGAAAAATTCGTCCAGTTTGCCTCCCCAGATGCTATAAACCTTATGGCGTTATCGGAATGTCTCAATGACAACGATATATCTTTTTTATATGAATACACTAATGACCACCAAACAGAAAAGCAACATTAGCAAACATGCACGTGCAATTATTTTCTTCTGAACACTCCTACTTTTGAACTTATTTACCTGGTTTTATTATTTTCAGATTGGTCTGATATCAATATAACTACCATGTTGAAAAACTCCTCCACATCCTTTAAAGTATTCTTACCAAACATTTCTTAGGTCATTAAAACATTACCATTAAGATATATATATACTTGTTTTAATTATCTAATCATTGTTCCTACTCAGATTTTAGATTTGATCCTTTAGCCAGATATCCGTCAAAAATAAATTGGACATCATCCTTAGTTTATGTCCGGAGCGAGAGACCGAAATTATGAACAGTTTTGTTCGCGACCATTGAACGTGCTTCAACAAGGTTATGGACAGCTCTTTTCGGGTTAACATGGTTTACAATAAATTAAATGTCAATTTATACTAGTATATATTTTTTTCTTTTTTTTTTCTTTTCCCGGATGTCGTTTTTAACATACATTTTTGATATAAAAGATTGTACAGTGAGCACCTTTTTTTAACATTGATGAGTATTTTCACCTGTCATTATCTACACGAGTACCGATTTTGAACTCATCAGTTGAGTATCTTTTCATTGTCATTATCTACACGAGTACCGATTTTTAACTAATCAGTTGAGTATTTTTCCATTATCTTTTTCTACACGAGTACCGATTTTTAACTGATCAGTTGAGTATTTTTCCATTGTCTTTATCTACACGAGTACCGATTTTTAATTGATCAGATGAGTATTTTTCCATTGTCTTTTTCTACACGAGTACCGATTTTTAACTGACCAGATAATTCCACAAAGTACAGGTTACCGTTCAATTGCTTCTGAGTAGAATCATCTTTAGCATCTTAACTTTCGTTAAAGTGATTTCTTTCGTCTCGGAGACGGTCGTCACACAATTGTCTTGGCAATTAATGTAGTACTGTTGACCTTATCCCTAGACAGTACGACAGCTTCACACGCTGTTTGGCGTGGGACGGAACTATCCGTCTTTCACACGATCACTGACACTTCAGCGAGAGACAATGACATGACATTCGCTCCACTGATTAACCGCGATATCATGTCTAAAGTTATACAGTATGAAACTATTTTGATGAAGAGATTTTCAGCAGTTTTGTAATCGCGAAACTATCTTGCATATGTCTCCTTATATATGTTTCGTATTTTCAACTTTTTAACACTAGGTAAATCTGATTTCAGTCACTGGTATGATCCTTTCAAGGAATCTAGTAATTCCTCCAGATAAACGAAGTTGCCACACTTTTTCGACATCGATTAAGTGGTATCCATTTCTTGAGACGTGCCTTATTAGATTACTAAACCGTTGCAGTGTTTGTGTGTTTGGGGAAATGTTTGGGAAGAGGCGAAACGTTTTTGATAAGTTAGTTTTCGAGACACACCGAATTGAGATTTTGTT